GGAGAGGGTCCGCGGGGAGAGGGGCGGGGGCACGGCCCCGGGGGCAGGTGTGGTGCGGGGTGGCTCCCCGGCGCCGCCATGTTCGGGAGGCGGCGGGGGCCGGTTGGGGCGAGGGGTGGCGCGGCGACATGGCGGGCGCGGGCGGGCTGGCTGGCTTGCGGTGTTCGCGGGTGAGAGCGCAGCCTCCGGGAGTGGAGCCTGCCCCCCAAAATGCGCAGGCTTTTAAATGAATAATAATAAAAAAAGTAATAAATTGCCGTCGTTTTCAGCTTTCTCCTGACCGGTGTCATCTAAAAGCATTGGCAGCCTTCCTCTGTACCTGGAAGGGATGTTCTCCGGGTCGGATTTCCTCTTAGCGCTAATTGCACTCACGAAGTTAGACTCACCAACAACTGCTCTTTGAAAAAGAGAAGAAACAAAGTTACACGGAAAAGGCAAAGGCGCAGGGTCTGCCCCGCTGCCTGCTCTGGCTGACCCCAGCCAGGCTGCCTCTGGCCTGGCCCTGCGTTGCCCACAGCTGTGGGCAGCTACCACGGCCCACGCGGCTTCCGTTTTTCTCAGCACCAGGCTACACAGTCGGGTAATAACAGAAATACATTAATAACTGAAATAACCCTTGCAAGGCAATGTTTTCTTAATCTTTTTCTGGACTGGAGTCCCTTTTTGACCTAGCAATACAGGAAGGATGACATGGTTGCGATTTCCCTGTCGAACAGCTGGGACCCCATTATTCTGCACTGTGTGACATGCAGAGTTCTGAGTGCCTCTGTATTTGTCTTGTGAAATCTGTAGCGAAGCACTAGATAAGGTTCCTGTTATCAACTGATACACATTCCTATGGCTGGATTATTTTTCCATCTGTAAAATGGGGGTATTATTATCCCCAGATGAGAACAGTTTCACTCCTGCTTGTAAACTGCTTGATGATTGTTAGATGGAAAGCACTAGAGGAAGTCTTTTTTATTAAGTAGTTTTTGTCAGTTCCCCTCTTTATGAGGCAGCATGTGGTACATTAAGCAAGTAAATACTAAAGTGCATTTTTGACTCTCAGGTGCAGCCTGATCATGGTGTAATGCTGGAACCGCTCGTGCTAATATAAGAGCAATTGGCTGAATGATCCAAAGAGATTTTTGACCTTCTTTGTTTCTTTTCCATTTTCTTCTCATCTGCTTAATAGGGCTGAGCGGTTATATACCAGAATATATGGCTGCTGCATGACTTCAGCTAAACTTGTGATGAATTTTGCAAGTGAAATACTATCAGGATCAGGCCAAAAAGTGTAGAGATAACATTACTGTTTTGGCAAGACAGCATACTGTAGTTTTGTAGCATAAGGATGTGAGCTTGTTGTGATCAGCACACCCAATTACCTTTGTCTTAACCTGGATGTGTTGCTAAAGGCAACCATTTTTCTTAAGTCAAGTTATGCACGTCTGAAAGACTGAATCAGATCTGGCAGAGATGTGGATTCTAAGATCTAGATTTATCTAAATCTCTGTAAATTCACAGCTCTTTTTTCTCACATGTGTAGGGGGCTCTCTTCTACAAAACTCTGTTGTCAGTACTGTATTTGATCTCCTTGCAGGATGGGTCATGGATGAGCCTCAGGATGCTCAGCTCTTTCTAGGTGATGACTATGGTGAATATGCAGCAGGCCTGCGTTGCTTCCTCTTCACATGGACTCCTCTGATACTACATGAGCTTCAGTATTGTCTACTGTAATGAGGATGCCACAAGAAATTTCCATTTTTTACTTTAAACACATTTTCTTATGATTTTGCAGCCTAAGTGCAGAAGTGTTTTCATCTGCAGAAATAAAGGAACATTTGGATATAAACGTGAGAACTGAGGACAGGGAGTGTATATGCAGGAGGGGGATTTCTGCTCTCTCCTGCTTCCTTTACTCTGCCAAATTTGAAGTATGCATTTTTGAAGCCAAGATCATGGACCAAATGCTATACAGCTAAACTCATTTTACTATGACTAGATAGTTTAAAGTTACTACCAATCTATGTTAGTTTAATTATAGATTTTAATGGACTTATTCCAGATGAGGCCTAGATAAAGCAGCAGAATTTTGTCATAGGACTTGATTTGTTATACAAAGTGTCATGAATATAATGACACTGAATAAATAATTTACAGTACCACGTGTCTGGTCTTATTTATAGAGTACAAAGTGAGAATAATTTTAGTAATTTTAAAAAGTTAGTGTGAGCATACAGAGGAGAATATACCATTGTCGAAGAGCACCCAGTATATTGAAAATAAGATAGAGAAAAAGTGAGAAATGGAGGCATTGAGAAGGAAATGCTTATATAAGGTTTAGCTTAGTAATGACTGTGATTAGAATAGTGCAGATCTGAGGAGTCCAGATCTTCTAAGACTTATTCTAGTACACATTAGATCATGCTGCCAATACTTAGAATTCTTAACAACTTAGAAGTTCTGAAAAATCCAGTAGCAGACACTCCATTTCTTACTGCAATTTAAAGCATGATTGTATGCACTTCAAGAGACCTAGATAAAGTACTAATAAAACAAGTAAATAATTCTAAAATACACTATCTCTGATGAGCAATTCATATCAAGAGCAAAATAGTCAAAGCAGTGGTTGAAGGAGGGAATCCTTTCTCTATTCTCAGCAAATGACAAGAAGACAGCAAATAATAGCAAAAACGGAAGAATACAAAAGGTGAAAAGGACAGAACAGGGTTGGTCTAGACATTGGAATGAAAAGTACAAAGCACAGACAGATATGCAGATTTGAAAATAAACCATTTTAATCTTATATATAGAATAGAATGACTATCTGCCATCTGGAATTCAGGGAATCCAATGAAGGTTGGAGGTGTAAACAACGAAGACAGGATTATCAACATCTGTTTTCAGTGCATGCTGATATATATGAGTCCTTGAGGGATAAGTTAGAGAAAATAATGGGAATTAATAAAACCTGATGATATAAAAAGGATCACATCATTGTATTTGTTTGGAGACAATATGGATTTACACACACTGAAAATAAATAATGCATACAATGTATCATCATCAAGTCTGTTTTCTATTAATCTTTTGTTCCAGCTCCCATAAATCTTTTAACAGGACAGCATTCCTAGCAGATGTAACATTTTGGAAGGTTTGGCATATGATATCCCTCCTATTCTTCTCCCCAGAACAGCTAATGGATAAAATTCAGTAAGTTTTGAAAACTTACAGTAGTATCTTATATTAGCCCTTTGTCTCTGTCTCATGTTCCATTGCTGAGAGTAAAAGACACCAGGATGAGTATGCCGGTATAAATACATAAAGCAATCTAAGCCTAAAACGTTACAGAATATGATAAAACTTAAGGTCTGCTCCTTTGACATTCTATATGAACATGAATGAATTACTACACTAAAGAGTGCTTATCAATGTTAAAAAAAAAAGGTCCTGTTAATACTTGGCCTTGATACCAAATGGCTTTCCATTTTCAAAGGGCCCACAAAACAATATAAAAAAATATTTAAAATGTTTTGCACAAACCAACTTAAAAAGATTGGTTGACCAGGACCAATATTTTTTGCTAGGAAGGGAACAATGATGACATTGATTATTTCCACAGTTAAGAATTCACAATGTAATTGATTTTTATCTATCTGACTCATTTAGTGTGGGCAGGCTCCATTTGTTCAAGAAACCTGTAATATATTCCTTGAATCACTGTAACTATGAGAGATATAAAAGTTGATGTAATGAGTTAAACACACTATTTAACTCAATTTGTTTTGCACACTGAATTCCCATTTCTGACACAGATACAGGTTCCATCTAGATCTACTGGTCGTTTTTGTAAGATGTCTCATTCATTTTGTGTGCTGCCAAATATTCAAGAGTTCTGCTTTATTCAGGGTGCCTCTGATTTTGGATTTCCCTATCCTGAGATTTCATTTTCAGGTACACGGAGTACTTGCACCTTTCATTGAGTAATTGAGACAGGCTGCCAGCAAATTCAAAAGTCATGACCAGTAATGACTCCAGTGAATGAAAGAGCTAGGCTATAAGAAATTATTTGATCTGGTGCATATTTTTGACATGTTAGGTGTTTACTCCTGAAGAGCCATGGATGTTTGGGTCATGAGTTTGCACTGAAACTGCTAGACAGAAAAAATGCATAGGAGTCTGGCAGGGCTAGAACTAGGTGAAAAAATCAAGGCTTTAACTGAAGTACCCACTTCCAAAATTATGCAGAAAATTTGTGATTCACTGCCACCTCATCCTGAACTATCTAAGAACTTTCTGACTTAAATGTTCTCCAGAATTATTCCAGTCAGAATTGGACAGCATTTACCTACTATCTAAAGTTTATGATCCCTGCTGCTCATCAAGACCTGTCCAGTCACAAATGGAAGGGAATCAGACATATAAATAGATTTGAAGAAACTATTCATTATATATATATATATACACACATATATGTGTGTGTTTTTAGAGTACTGTAGGCTTCAAGTATATACTATTGGACTTCGTCTAAGAAGCGAATCTAGATTTGAGAGCTTTTAATTCACATCTAGATCTAAAATTTGGCCTTGTTGAACTTTTCTTATTTTTAAACAAACAGATTTTCCATTAATGTACAAGCAAAGCAGCAATCTGGCAGAAGCAGCAGTATTTAGTTTATGCATCTGTATGCATGACTCTCAGATTCCTTTCTCCTTCTTTGCTGATAAATGACATTTTATTAGAAAAAAATAAAACCCCAGATGATCATTAACCGCAGTTGCTATTTCTGCCAAAAAAAATCAAAGAAGCAGCAATCCTTCAAGTATTAAAATTCAATAAACAATCAGAGCACTTAGATGTTTTTTCAGCTAGGCATACAACAAGGAC